CAGCCATAGAGAGGCAGATCAAATCACTAAGAGCAGCCATTAGATGCATATTGCGTCACAAACTCGAATCAGACTTCCAACTCGGAGACCTCGAGGGACAAATCAAGTCACTTTCGAAACTTAGAAGAACGACCCTATCTGATGGATCTGCAACAAAACCCGGCTCGACAGTGAAACAACCCCAGACGGTAATACCACCAACATCAGCAGAGCTTGGTGCTGTAACCAGCAACACACCTTTGGAACCTTCAACGACAGCTGCTTCCTCCTCCTCCGTGAGCGAACCTGGCTCCACGAGTATCATGAAGAGAGGACAAAAACGGAGCTTTTCAGATAACAAAGAGAGCTCAGTACAGGTTACTTCGTCCCCAAGCAATCACTCTAACGGGCATGGTGGTGGCCATTCCTTGAATGAAAGACAGTCTGATCCTGTTGATCATGACAACAGAGGTGTCACCGAAACTTCAAACTCCGACAAGAATCAAAGTCAGTTGTCACAACCAGAGGGACCTCCCTAGTTTTATCGACATTATGATCATCTTTACCGAAAAAATTTGTAGTGCTTTATAGCTTGTTGTGGGCACTTTTTGGTGTGTTTGCATGAGTAACAAGGTTGCAAACAAATATTTTAATTTTTTTTCTTGAACTTGGTATGAATTTGCTCAAAAAAGATTAAAAAAAGAACTTGGTATAAATATTTAGTATTTTGGTTTAATCATTCACTACACTAATCAAAATTTTAAATCTTTTTTAAAATTATAAGCACGAGTAACAAGGTTGCAAACAGATAGTTTAGTTTTTTTTTTCTTGAACTTGATATGAATCTGCTCAAAAAAGATTAAAAAAAGAACTTGGTATAAATATTTAGTATTTTGGTTTAATCATTCACTACACTAATCAAAATTTTAAATCTTTTTTAAAATTATAAGCACGAGTAACAAGGTTGCAAACAGATAGTTTAGTTTTTTTTTTCTTGAACTTGGTATGAATCTGCTCAAAAAAGATTAAAAAAAGAACTTGGTATAAATATTTAGTATTTTGGTTTAATCATTCACTACACTAATCAAAGTTTTAAATCTTTTCAAAAATTATAAGCAGGAGTAACAAGGTTGCAAACAAATAGTTTAGTTTTCTTCTTCTTGAACTTGGTATGAATTTGCTCAAAAAAAGATAACAAAATTTTAAATCTTTTCAAAAATTATTAAGTTCGAAAGTTGGATTATTTTTGAAAAGATTTGAAATTTTGAACGCTAGTTTAAAAATTTTGCCAAAAAAGTCAACAACATTAAATTAGGAAGCAAAAAAAAAAAAAAAAGAACATTTGTTTCCATTAAAATAAACAAAGACCAACCGAGTTGCTGCCCTCCCCCACTCGGAAATTTAGGGCTTTTTTTATTCTCCGTATCTTCCTGAGCAATCTGGGTTTCAGCTTCAAGCTTCTTAAGGTATGTTCAAAACTTGTGTGTGCATTGTTCTACTTCTTACGCAGAGCTAAAGGTTCTACCTTTCACTGTTTCGACTCGAAGCTATCGTTGCTCTGTATAGAATCACAAAAAAAAAAAAAAAATTTAGTTTAAAGCTCTTAGCTTTGCAACTTAACTTCGACGTTTATGCTTTCTTTTTGTTACTTGTTGTATTTTCGTTTTGCAGGGTTAATAATATCTGAACTTTCGTTCATTCAAAAAAAAAAAATATCTGAACTTTCAGACTGATTTACATTTACCCTTGGGGTCTTGAGTTTGTTGTCTGATGAAAGATGAAGCGCACTGTGTAAAGATCTCGCATTTGCTCTTGTTTCTTATCTGGTAAGCTATTGTTCTGTCTTTCACACTAAGACATGTCAAGATTAGGAACTAACATTGCAATGAACTTTCTGTTTGCAGAAATGACCTTGAGTTTTTTTAATCTCTGAGATTAGCTGATTCTTAAGTGAGAATGGACTGTAACAAGGAAGAGGCCTCTAGGGCGAAGAAAATGGCTGAGGATTTGATGCGGAAAGGTGATTTCGCCAGGGCTCAGAAGCTTGTGATGAAGGCTCAGAGACTCTTTTCAGGTCTTGATGGTTTACCACAAATGTTAGCCGTCTGTGATGTTCATTGTTCTGCTGAGAAGAAAATCAACGGTCTTGAGAACTGGTATGGTATTCTTCAAGCTATGCATTTTTGTGAGGATGCTACAATCAGGAAGCAGTACAGGAAGCTCGCTTTGCTTCTCCATCCTGACAAAAACCAGTTCGCCGGTGCAGAGGCTGCTTTCAAGCTGATTGGGGAAGCTAACATATTGCTTGGTGATAAGGAGAAACGGACGCAGTATGATATCAAGCATAGAATCTATTCACGGGTTGTTAGCAGACAGTTGAATGCAGACTCAGGTTTACAATGTGGAAGTGCACATAGAAACGTGGGGTCTACTGGTCCTCAACAAGGAAATGCTGCAGCTGAGGTGGATAAGAAAGAAACTTCCAAAGAGAAACCCAACAAGAAAGGTGGAGGAGGTGAGAACCAAAAGGCTGAAGTAAGAAAATCCCAATTAGAGAAAGAATCGATGAACTGTGGGGAGTCAAGTAAACCCACGGAAGGTGAGGGAAAGATGAAACATACAGCTGAGCCGCCCAAAACTGATGGTTTGAAGCCACAGCCTGAGGCTGCAGAACCAGAACAAAGTGCATCAAAACATGTACCTTATGAATCAGTTTCAAGGTCTAGTCAAGCACCCTCAATGAGCAAGGACAAAAAGAAGAGGAGAAAGATTGTTGAGGAGCCGGAGGAGAGTACCAATGTCACCTTCTCTGATGTTTTTGAGGATAAATCAAATCCAAAAGATAATAACAGGAGGAAATCTCCACNGCAGAACCAGAACAAAGTGCATCAAAACATGTACCTTATGAATCAGTTTCAAGGTCTAGTCAAGCACCCTCAATGAGCAAGGACAAAAAGAAGAGGAGAAAGATTGTTGAGGAGCCGGAGGAGAGTACCAATGTCACCTTCTCTGATGTTTTTGAGGATAAATCAAATCCAAAAGATAATAACAGGAGGAAATCTCCACAGAAAAGCCAGCAAGCTTCTTACGAAGAGAAGAGAAAAAGTGGTGATGCTATAAGCGCTGCCACAAAAAGGTCAAAATCAATTGATGGTTTGAAGCCACAGCCTAAGGCTGCAGAACCAGAACAAAGTGCATCAAAACATGTACCTTATGAATCAGTTTCAAGATCTAGTCAAGCACCTTCAATGAGCAAGAACAAAAAGAAGAGGAGAAAGATTGTTGAGGAGCCGGAGGAGAGTACCAATGTTACCTTCTCTGATGTTTTTGAGGATAAATCATATCCAAAAGATAATAACAGGAGGAAATCTCCACGGAAAAGCCAGCAAGCTTCTTGCGAAGAGAAGAGAAAAAGTGGTGATGCTATAAACACTGCCCCAAAAAGGTCAAAATCAAATGATGGATCATCCAAACATCGTGATTCTGGTGGTTTTTCTTCCCCTTCATGTAACAAAAAGAGCAAAGGAAATGAAGCACGTGGAGAAGGGATTACGCAGGATTCACCTGATCAAGACTTTCATAATTTTGAACTGACAACAAGCTGTTTTGCTGTCAACCAGGTGTGGTCTCTGTATGATCCCACTGATGGTATGCCTCGGTTTTATGCTCAGATTAGAAAAGTGATCGATTCTGAATTCAAGCTAGAGATTATGTGGCTTGACCCCTTACAGGTTTACAATGAAAACTCCATCCCAGTTGCTTGTGGAATATTCCAAGGTAGTGAGTCACAGGAAGTAGACGACCCTTTTATTTTTTCTTGTGAGATGCTTCACAGAAGTCGTGACAACAACATCGTCATTTATCCAAGAACAGGGGAAGTTTGGGCTGTTTTCAGAGGCTGGGATATCAGTTGGAAGAGTGGTAGCTCGGAAAATCACAAAGGAGTTTATGAATATGACTTTGTAGAAATTTTGTTTGATTTTGACGATGTGAATGGCGTTGGAGTGGCCTACCTAGGGAAAGTGGAAGGGTTTGTCTCCCTATTTCACCGAGATGCAAAGTGTGGAGTTCTCCAGTTTCATATTCCACCAAACGAGATGCTTAGATTTTCTCACAAAGTCCCGTCGTTCAAAATGACTGGAAGGGAGAGTGAAGGTGTTCCTCCAGGGTGCTTCGAATTAGACATTGCTGCGTTACCGAAAGATATGTTCGACGTTGCTAATCAGAAAAAGGACTCAGTGAAGAAGGGAAAGAAGAGTGTCAAAGCAGTGGATGGCTTGAAACTGAGAAAATCTCCTCGTCTTGTGAGTGAAACAAACAAACAAGAAACTTCAAGGAAGAGTGCTAAGAGGGGTGCATCCTGTGGAAAGCCAAATGGATCTTGTGTATCTGATGAGACGACGCCTACACCAAAGAAACCTGAAAAAGCCACCACAGGGAACTCAAAGAAACGTGGGAGAAATGATTGAGTCATTGTCCCAGTCCAGATGTAAATGATTTGCGGACTCGGTTATAAGGTAGAGCAGATTCCTGCTAGAGGGACACAGTTTCAACTCAAAGAAGACATAATATAAGTCTCTTTTCTTTTGTTAACGCAACGAGTCTCTTTTTCTTTTGGGGCAATAACTTTGTGGATTGTGATGTGAAGTTAGGGTGTAACATTTGTGTTTAGTAAGATCACACTTACTTTTCTGAAGCAAATATTTTGACAAGGTTATGCATTTGTGCCTATCCATAGTTCTGTTTGTTTCGTACCAAAAAAAAAAACAGAACAGAAGCAATAACCCATAATAAACCGGATAATCCATTGCCTACATTAAACCGGATAAACTTAAGCCTACATAAAGAGACAAAAATGAGTCTCGCATATAATGCCAACCAATCATAAACCGGAAATAAAGATAATTTATGACTGCAGACAAACATAAACCACATTAAACCACATTAAACCGGATAATCCGTGGTCTATATTACAGGACTGCCTCTAAAAATTGCTGATACGGCGAGGTTCTTGCCGGGTAACCATGAAGAGTGACTTCCTCACTTCCACAACTCACCTCCACCCTTCAATCTCTCTTCCCAAAATACCCTCAAGAAAATCAACAATAAAGTGCTCATCTTTACCCGGAGTCCGACCCGACCCGTGGTCACTCAGCGACGGCAACCCGGAGAGACCAAAGCCAAGATACGAGAGGCCAAAACACCCTTTATCAGACGACGACGCGAGGAGAATCATAAAGAAGAAAGCACAGTACCTCAGCACCTTGAGGAGGAACCAAGGCTCACACGCCATGACTCCCAAGTGGATCAAACGCACCCCTGAGCAGATGGTTCAGTATCTTGAAGATGATAGGAACGGGCAGATGTACGGGAAGCACGTGGTGGCTGCGATTAAGAAAGTGAGAGGCTTGTCTCAGAGGAGAGAAGGTGGTGATATGAGAGTGGTGATGGGTAGCTTCGTTGCGAAGTTGAGTTTTAGAGATATGTGTGTTGTTTTGAAAGAGCAGAGAGGGTGGAGACAAGTCAGAGACTTCTTCGCTTGGATGAAACTTCAGGTTTCTCTTTTCTGTTCTTCTTGTTTAAAAAGTTTGAAACTTTGCTTTGTTCTGTGGTAGAATTGGTCTGCTTCAGACAGGCAGAGTTAAGTTAGTTGTTCTGTCTGACAGGTTATCTTCTGTTCCTCTTTTTAAAGTTTCATTTTATAGAATTGTTATGCTTCAGACAAGCAAAGTTAAGTTAGTTAACTGAGGTTATGAATGGGAGGGGCAGGACAAAGGCAGATCAAACAGTTCTCCCGCAATAGGCAGTTCTCCTGCCTTATGTTTACCATTCACCATTTTCTGTTTGTAAAAGCAGTTCAAGCGGGAGATCTGCATGCAGTTCAATTTTTTTGTCTTTTAGTAGAAAAAGCAGGAGATCTGCATGCAGATCCCATCCGCTAACATTTGGTGGTGTTGATCTGCCTTTTTTTTTCCTTTTATTAATAAATAGTTTTATTACAAACACTTAACTTTAAAATATATTTATTTGATTTTATAAATAATGTACAATTATTAACTCAAACTATATAGTTCACATTAATATTATTTGTATCATTTTAAAGTTATAAGCATGATGTCTAATCGCCAAAAAACACAATATTTTCCACGAAAAATATAAAATTTTCTACATAAGTGTCAGCAAAAAAATAATTATTTTATATTTTAAAATAATTAATAAATAGAAGAAGTATAAGCATCTAATAAAATTTTTACAGACATTTTGGCTGAACATACAACATCTGAAATATTTTGTTTTGATATTTGGTGTAATTTTTATTATTTTAATATATGATATATAATGTGAACATATTTTGTCATTTATAATTTATAATAAATTATTTAATCTGTTTTATCTCCATTTTTATANAAAATTTTTACAGACATTTTGGCTGAACATACAACATCTGAAATATTTTGTTTTGATATTTGGTGTAATTTTTATTATTTTAATATATGATATATAATGTGAACATATTTTGTCATTTATAATTTATAATAAATTATTTAATCTGTTTTATCTCCATTTTTATATATAAATATTAACAAAGAATTAAATATTAAGATGTTTGTTATTCAAAAATAATTTTGATCAACTAAAACGCTACAAGCATCTTATGAAAAATCCAATAAACATTTAGGCTGATCCTACAACATTTAAATATTTATATTGATATTTGGTATAATTTTATTCTTTTAATATATGATCTATAGTTTTGAACTTATTTTGTCATTCATAATTTAAGATAAATTGTTTGATCTGCATCTCTCCTGCTTGATCCGCTTGATCTGCACTTGTCCTGCTTTATCTGCACTTGTCCTGCTTGATCTGCATGAACCGTTTGATCTGCACTGCTTGATCTGCTTTTACCATTCGAAGCCTGAGTTGTTTTGTCTTAACCAATTTTCAATGATTCGCTAGACAGTAACTAGACGTTTTGTAGAAAATTAGCTACTAGGTGGAGTATTCAGTGCCTAGGCTAGGCTGAGTTGTTAACGAATTATTGATTTATTATTATACAGAAATTAGAAAAAAATGTGAATTTGTACCAACATTGTTGTTTAATTTATTTAGACTAATTTAAATTGATTTAAACCGATTTTAGAAGATTTAGAACAGTTTAAATTGATTTGTGTAGCATAAATCCGATTTTAAGAAAATCGTTTCAGTTAGAACCGATTTTTAGAACCATGGTCTTCACTCTTACTGGTGATAGATTTTTATGTCAACACTTAAGTTACCGTCCAAGTGTAGTTGTCTACACGATTAACAGGATTTAAGATTGATTTTAACTGATGTATAACAATTTAGACCGATATGAGTAGTATAAATCGGCTTTGAAGAAAATCGTTTTTGCTAGAACCGTGGTCTTAACTTCACTCTTAATGAATATCTGGTGATAGTTTTTTGTGTCAACAGTTGAGCTACCGTCCAAGTGTAGTTGTCTACACGATTGTTCTGCGTTTGTATGGACAAGTCGGGAAGATAAAGCTAGCCGAGGAAACATTTCTGGAGATGCTTGAAGTGGGATGTGAACCTGATGCAGTAGCCTGTGGTACAATGCTGTGCACATACGCCAGGTGGGGACGGCATAACGCTATGTTAACGTTCTACAAAGCTATTCAAGAAAGGAGAATAACCCTCTCTACTTCTGTCTACAATTTCATGCTCTCTTCTCTTCAGAAGAAGTCACTTCATGATAAAGTGATTGATCTATGGTTAGAAATGGTTGAGAGAGGTGTGCCGCCGACTGAGTTCACGTATACATTGGTTGTGAGCTCATATGCTAAACAAGGTTTCAACGAGGATGCATTGCAGGCGTTTGGTGAGATGAAGAGCTTAGGTTTTGTCCCTGAGGAAGTAACTTACAGTTCGGTTATTAGCTTAAGTGTGAAGGCTGGTGATTGGGATCAGGCTGTTAGATTGTACGAGGATATGAGATCGCTAGGAATCACTCCGAGTAACTATACATGTGCTTCTATGTTGAGTTTATATTACAAAACTGAAAATTACCCGAAAGCTCTCGCTCTCTTTGCAGACATGGAACGGTTTAAAATACCAGCTGATGAGGTCATCCGCGGGTTGATCATCAGAATATATGGGAGGCTTGGACTTTTCCATGATGCAGAGACGATATTTGAAGAGACTCAACGTCTGAATATACTCTCTGATGAGAAAACGTATTTGGCAATGTCTCAAGTCCATCTGAATTCGGGGAATGTTGCTAAAGCATTAGATGTTATTGAGATGATGAAGAACAGAGATATTCCCATTTCTAGATTTGCCTATATTGTTATGTTACAGTGTTACGCTAAGATACAGAACGTAGACTCTGCTGAGGATGCGTTTCGAGGTTTATCAAAGACTGGACTTCCTGATGCTAGTTCTTGTAACGACATGCTCAGTTTGTATACTAGACTCAGTTTAGGAGAGAAAGCTAAGGGGTTTATCAAGCAGATAATGGCTGATCAAGTGCACTTTGATGTAGAGCTTTACAAGACGGTTATGAGAGTGTATTGCAAGGAGGGAATGGTAGCAGAAGCTCAAGAGCTGGTGGAGAAAATGGGTAGAGAGGCTGTGGTTAAGGATAACAGATTTGTACAAACACTTGCAGAGGCTATGCATAGTGAAAGAAGTAAGGATAAACAGGAAGCAGTTATAAACGTGAGTCGACTTGATGTCACGGCTCTTGGAATGCTGCTCAATTTGCGACTAAAAGAAGGAAACCTGAATGAGACTAAAGGAATCTTGAGTTTAATGTTCAAGACTGATCTTGGTTCAGCAACTGTTAACAGAGTTATAAGTAGCTTTGTTAGAGAAGGTATAAAACATATAATCTGCTTTCGTTTGTTAAGATATATTTGTTGAAGATTACTTTCATTTTCTTATGCAGGTGATATATCTAAAGCAGAAATTCTTGCGGATTTGATTATCAGACTAGGACTCAGTATAGAGGAGGAAACAGTTGCGACTTTGATTGCTGTATATGGGAAGCAACAGAAGCTTAAAGAGGCCAAACGGCTTTACCTTGCAGCAGGAGAGTCTAAACCTCAGGGGAAATCTGTTATAAACTCAATGATTGATGCTTATGTCAGATGTAGCTGGCTTGAAGCTGCGTATAGACTCTTCATGGAATCAGCAGAAAAGGGCTGTGACCCTGGTCCTGTTACCATCAGCATACTTGTGAATGCCTTAACAAATCGAGGTATGTCAAAAAGGGAAATTGCAACTCTCTCCTTCCCAGATAACTTATAGAAACTCAACGCCCCAAATGTGAATAATCCAATCCACATGCCTGGATTTTTTTTGGAATGCTCTTAAAGTTGAGAACTGATATATATACCTGTTACATTTCAACCAACTACTTGCAGTCTGAGCTTAAAATAAACGTTATGTATTCTTATTAACCGCAATGTTAAAATATTTTGTGAGAAAATTTGTTATCCTAATTGTAGGGAAACACAGAGAAGCAGAAGATATATCACAGACCTGCCTTGAGAAAAACATGGAGCTTGACACCGTGGGCTATAATACCCTTATCAAGGCAATGCTAGAAGCAGGTAGAACAGGTTGTTTATTAATTTCAGTTGAAGTGACCAACACTAAAGTATGTTGCCACAGGTAAACTGAAGTGTGCATCTGAAATATATGAGCGGATGTGTAACTCAGGTGTTCCTTGTTCGATTCAGACCTACAACACAATGATCAGGTAAAAAGGCACTAGATTTGCCTTCCTTATGAATAAGATTCGTGCAAGTTGGTTGTCATGTAATATTCCAAGCCATGTTGGTTTGTTGATGCAGTGTGTACGGGCGGGGTCAGCAGGTGGACAAAGCAATTGAGGTTTTTAACAGTGCTCGCCGATCCGGACTGTATCTGGACGAGAAAATATACACAAATATGATCATGCATTATGGGAAGGCTGGTATGTATTTATCGAGAGAAATATATGCTTATGTTTTGGTTCATGTTTAATATGATTAACTATTTAACATTGAATGGTCTTGATTCTGGTTAGTAACAAAGTGACAAATGAAACTCTCTTTCTTGCGTTTCCAGGAAAGATGAGTGAGGCATTGGCGTTGTTCAGTGAAATGCAGAAGAAAGGGATTAAACCTGGAACGGTAGGTTTATCCAATGGCGTAACATTGTAAGATCTTTCTTAAATTTAGTGATCTAACAATGAATATTGTCAATGCTTGGGAATATTTGCAGACTAGTTACAACATGCTGGTGAAAATATGTGCAACCAGAGGACTCCATCACGAGGTTAATAAACTTTTGCAAGCAATGGAGAGAAATGGCCATTTTACCGACAACTCATCCACATACCTCTGCTTAATTCAAGCCTATGCCGAGAGTTCACAGTACGAAGAAGCAGAGAGAATGATAACTCTCATGCAAGAGAAAGGCATTTCACTTTCTCAAATCCATTTGAGTCCATTACTCTATGCTTTTGTCAAAGCTGGAATGATGGATGAGGCAAGAAGGATCTACTACAAGATGTCGGAAGCTGGTATAAGTCCAGACAGCGCTTGCAAGCGCACAATCCTAAAGGGGTACATGAACTGTGGTGAAGCCGAGAAAGGAATATTGTTGTATGAGAAAATGATGAGAAACTCTGTGGAAGATGACAGGTTTGTCACTAGAGTTGTACAAGATCTGTATAATGTTATAGGTAAAGAACAATAGTTTCTGTATAAACCCTTTTATCTTGAAGTAGATGTATCAGCCTATCAGGTATGTGTAGAAAGTTTTGAACTGGGACCTATATACATACAGACTACAGCTGTGTCATATTGTGATGTAACATAAATGTAATACATTAAAAACACAAGGGTTGCATTGCAACCCTCTTTAAAATTAGAATAAAAATTTAGGATTACCTTATTTTGAGTGGTTCAGATGTTAAAAACGTCTTTGGTTCATAGCCATTGCTTTTGGAAAGATCTTTATGTCCAGGCGGGAACTTTTGGAACGTTCACATAGGTTAGTTAATTGCTTAGCTGCTTCAGTGTAAAACGAATAGAAAAGTCATACTCTGTAGAAACAAAGTCTTGGTCCAAGTGAAAAAAACTAATATACTAACCCAACAACGTTTATTTCTCAGTCAAGCAACATCCATAGATGGTATTTTTTTTTGTATACATGTATCTTCCTTATTTATTTTTTTGTAACTTGTATATATTTTTCCTTGTTTCAAAATTTATATTTTAGAGGCTAGAATTAACAAATGTAATAGAAAAGGAGTGATGTATCCACGCAAAAAATGATTATATATTTCAAGATTCATCCCCTCTTGTGGTATGGATGTCCGAATGGACAATGACTCATATGGATTGACTCAACGTACTTTATTTTTATAATAACTCTCTGTCCATTACTGAATGAGTTCGGTAGATACTTGGATTCAATATAAATTGTTCTTTTTTTTTTTTTTGAATTTTATAACAAATTGAACCGCAATTAGAGCCTTTAAATTTTTACTTGATTTTCAAAATGCAATGGTTTTCAAGATGTTATAGAATTGGTTAGAAACATTTAGAAAGATATTGAGAGTTGTAAGAAGTAGAGAAAAAGACGAAGGAGATAAAAGAGGAATGGGACAGATGAGGTGGTCATAATATGAAAAATCTAATTAAGCAAGGGGTCACTAAAGTACAAAGATATTATAATAAAGGCTGTTTTCCATAGATGTTGACCCCTAAACCTAATGCTTCCAAATATCCTTTGTGAGGAAACACTTTACTCGAAACCACACGTATTTTCGTATATTTTTGGCAGGAAACACACTTATTTGAAAACCGTACGTATTTCTTCGTGTAATTTCTAGTGATATTAAGGATCTCGAAAAATTTAAGGATCTATAATGTCTCTTATAGATCGAATTAGGGCAAACTACACGTTTAAAATAAAAGTTAAGTATGTCGGCAACGAGATATTTGAAATAATTGTCGTCCCTGTGAAACAACCATATCAAAATACTAACAAGTAATCACACATAGTAGTCTAGTAGCCACAACACTAAACTCGTATGATCACGCTTATATAAAATTATACTTTAAGATTGATTTGAATATCTGAAAGAAATATATGCATGAAATGTTTGGAAATTAATCTGGATTCTTCTATAAATTTAGGATATCACATGTTAAAAAAATTATAAAAATTATAAAATCTTATATAGGCTTAACATGTAGTTAAATTCTCTGAGACATGAGGCATATATATATACCAAAATACTATAAAAACCTTAGTAATCACAGAAGTTTCTACAAATAGAAAAGTACATTAGTGTCAAAAGAAGAAAATAAACAAATACAAAACTATAAGCATTTAGCAACAAAAATAAAATGACGAAGAGAAACAAAGACAGGGACAGAGTTGTCATTCCACAAGTGAAAATGTCAAGGAACGGATCCCGTTCCAACGTCACGTGCCTTTCTGGGGGCGTATTTGATACCACTCTCAACTTTATTCTTCGTTTTTATTCTTCAAATTTCAAAAATAAAAAAATGAATTTAATATCTTAAGGCCCACTAAAACAGTCGTCACACTCTCCACTCCTTCCCCGACGCGTTGGAGTATACGTGCGTAGGTTAACAGTACATAGCTACACTAATGCTAAACTACGCTTAAATTCTTATCCCACCACCTCTTAAGCACCGTGTTAACCAGTTTTAAACCATTTGATATATTTCTATTTCCAGATAAAAACTTATACTCATCGAAACTCGTTTAGCGCTGCGAGATTTCCCTTCTCGGCTAATCGCGAGGGAAGGAAGATTCGATCTGAGCTTTCGCGTCTCTCTGAGTTTTTGTTTGGTATTAAAAAGGAAACACTTTCCATGGCTGGGAGCGATCAAGTTAACCTTATTGAGAGCAAGGTGAGACCTTTTTGATCTCTGATTCGGTGGGTTTACTTTGAATTCTTTAATTCAAGCTTTGATGATGTTCTTATGAGTTATGGGTTTGCTTTAGTTTTCAAAGTTAGTTAGAACCTCTGGTGTTTGATATGTTATCAAAGCTTATGTCTTTTAATCTTTGATTGACCCTTGTGGATTGAAAAATCAAGACTTTTTGGTAGTTATAAACGAATATTTAGATGCAAGCAAATGATTCACCAACATATATGTTTGTTCGTCTTTTCGATTATATAACTGTTTCTCTACTAAGTGTTGGAATCATATATCAATTCAGCTCTGCTATTACTTGGCATCTGATTATTTGCTTAGATAATGACACTTTTAGAGGTTTAATCAAACTTGAGCAAGCTTTTGTTTCTCTTGTAAGGCTTTGTTGCTATCACCTTGTTGATGGCGTTTGTTGGAAAAAATCTTCTGACTTATCATTTGTCTTTGTTGTTGTGTGTTTTTGGTGCAGACAGTGGTTCCTCTCAATACATGGGTTTTGATATCCAACTTCAAGCTAGCCTACAATCTCCTGCGTCGCCCTGATGGAACGTTCAACCGTCACCTTGCTGAGTTTCTAGACCGTAAAGTCCCTGCAAACGCCAATCCTGTTAATGGGGTCTTCTCATTCGATGTTATCATGGATCGCCAAACCAATCTCCTTAGCCGGGTATACAGACCGGCTTACGCTGGCGACCCACCGAGTTTTACTGATCTTCAGAAGCCCGTTGATGGTGAAGTAGCGCCTGTTATTGTCTTCTTCCATGGTGGAAGCTTTGTGCATTCTTCTGCAAACAGTGCTATCTATGATACCCTTTGCCGTAGGCTTGTTGGTCTGTGCGGTTCGGTTGTTGTCTCTGTGAACTATCGACGTGCACCGGAGAATCGTTACCCTTGTGCTTATGATGATGGCTGGACTGCTCTGAACTGGGTCAACTCGAGATCTTGGCTTAAAAGCAAGAAAGACTCAAAGGTTCATATCTTCTTGGCGGGTGACAGCTCTGGGGGTAACATAGCACATAACGTCGCGGTGAGAGCGGTTGAGTCAGGGATTGATGTTTTGGGGAACATTTTGCTTAACCCTATGTTTGGAGGAACAGAAAGAACAGAATCTGAGACACGTTTGGATGGGAAGTACTTTGTGACAGTCAGAGACCGTGATTGGTATTGGAGAGCGTTTCTTCCGGAGGGAGAAGACAGAGAGCATCCAGCGTGTAGCCCGTTTGGTCCTAGAAGCAAGAGTTTAGAAGGTTTGAGTTTCCCCAAGAGTCTAGTCGTTGTAGCGGGTTTAGACTTGATTCAAGATTGGCAACTGAAGTATGCAGATGGGCTGAAGAAAGCTGGTCAAGAGGTGAAGCTTCTTTACTTGGAGCAAGCCACCATTGGCTTCTACTTATTGCCTAATAACAATCACTTTCATACCGTTATGGAGGAGATAGCTGCGTTTGTTAACGCAGAATGCCAATGAAAACGCTAGTCTTTCACTAACAAACGGGTGAAACTCTACCATGGAAGGTGAAGGCCCGAGATTCTCGTTTTAGAAGGTCTTTGTAGTGAGTCTAAAGTATGGCGTTTAACTACTACCACGGTGGTTGTGGTGGCGTGTCTGCGTTTGTGAACCGTGCGAAGCTGGATTCTGAGAGCAAAGCAGTAAGAAGAACAGTGAAGCCGGTAATGTTTGGCTTTTAGCGTTAGCGTTTAACTAAAACTACAGCTATGTTTTTTTCAGCTTGCGGTTGATGGTAACTCCGGTTATGTTACTATTATGATATCTTCCGTATATATATCTTATCTACATAAATAAACAACATATGTTTATAAGTTGTTGCGACTTCAGAAATGTATTGTGTTTGCTTAATCTGAAACTGAGATCTTGTTTCCTTAGTGTATTGAATAAGAAAGTATTCACTTAAAGATATAAAGATATAGTTCTCGCGATTAAACTCATGGCTGGATTTGAAATTTTGTGAGTTATGGCCAGGATCTGAAATTTTGAGAGCTTAAAACATTTTTAAGAATTTTAGGAATATTTTTTGAGACATGCTAATGTTTTATTGGGTTGTGTCCAGACCAAGTCTTGATTACACTTTAGTTCAAAACTAAATGTCTAGATTCACTCCCCTGTAAGCATTATTGCAATCTAATCATTGACAATGAAAAATAAGATTTGATGTTCTAAGTCTTTTATTTCCTCTTTCAATGTAGAAAACAGACTCGTTTGGACCACCACAAGGGAACAAGACAGAGAAAAAATTGACTGTTCGAAGGATATGCAAAATGTTACTTTTCTCTTAAAAGGGTTTTGTCTTTTATGAGATGTTATCTTTGACAATGATGAGAACTAGTTAACACGCTTGTGGAACCCAGGAAATAAAGCGAAAGATACAAATAACCTAGTCTTGTAATAGGGAAACAACTGTATACGTAGTCCACATAAACTAAGAAAGACATGTTAGCTTGGTAAGATGCTTCAATCATCTACAAAAAGAAAGAAAGAAAAAAAAGTGGTTATAGTTGGCTCTGATATAGATAAATGTACGTCAACATGTCTTTTTTTTTTCTTGCTCAATCTATATATCACCATGTCTTCACATTCTTCAGATATAAATGCTTACAAAATTAACAGTTGTACAGTATACATAACCAAATGTTTTCAATACAACAAAATTACAGACCGGTACTGATATTCATATTACACAGGATGTTATGGCCATGAACAACTGGTTTGTGTTTGTATGAAAGTTGTAATATGATAACTGGGTAAGTGGTACTTAAGGAAGTTGAAAACACACAATCTTTTTAACTAAAAGTTGCAATTTATAAAGGAGAAAACTGTCATTAAAACCTTAAAATTTTAAATTAAAGCCAATAAAAATTCTAATCATGTTTGAGCCAAAAAAATCTCTAACTTTTAATATTGGCCATTTTAACTCTCATATTTTGTTGATTCGACCATTTAAAAAAACTCGAATAATCAACTGTTAAATTTGATTAAAAAAATAGACAGTGTATTAACTCTTTAAACAAAGTTGTTTAAAAAGAACTGATTAGATATTAACCAAACAATGTCATCTTGCTTTTAAAAACACTTAAAATATCTTTTTCGTGAGCCATAACCCAAATTGATTTCATCTTTCTCATTTTCGAGTGAAAAAGATAAAATTGATTTGGAACTCTGATTTCGCGAAAGAGACGTTTGAATTGTTTAAAGAAGCAAAACTATACTGTTTGACTATTTTTTATAAACAACATCGTTTAGAAAGTTAATAGTCATCTATTTTTATAATCGAGTTTAACAGTTGACTATTTGAGTTTCTTAAATGTTCTAGTCAACAAAATATTGAAAGTTAAAACAATCAATATTTGAAAGTTTAAGATTTTTTTTGGTTCAAACATGAGTTGGAAGTTTTATTGGTTTTAATTTGAAAATTCGGAATTTTAATCACTTTTCTCATTTTTAAAGGATATGAAACAAACAACTTTATTAGATTTTCTGAAGATCGGCTACATGTTCTGAGAGAATAGTAGCAGAATCACAGATATGAAAGGGAAAAGGTTTACATCATATAGTTGCTCAAGAAAACTACATAGAGAGTTTATGAGTAAACAACTCATAAGATGCTCAAACGGTTTAGAAGTTAAACAACTGAAAAATAGAAAACTTAAATGCGATAATGCTGTCTGAGAGTTAAAAGGGCACTACCATCTTCAAGCGTTCACCTAATCGCAGCAGCATAGGCAACAGAAGCAGCCATGAAGAGAGTAGTAATAGATGACACAAGGGTCCAAAAGCTCTTCTTGTCATGTGCATCTTTGACCGAATGCTCCATTGTCTCTATTTCCTTCTTCATTTCCTCAACCATGCTTTCTTTGTTCTTGAAAGCTTTCTTGATCGCTTCCAGCTCCACAGAGTATGAATCCACTCCCTTTTCTCCTCGCTTCTGCTCGCCTTTTTTGTTGTCTTGTCCACAGAGTAGAGAGGACACAGTCTTAAGCATTGTTAGACCACGTTTTGCATTGGTTCCAGCAGATTCCAGTTCTGTTTTCAACACACCCATAGCTTTCTTGAGCTCTACAAGATCCTTTTGGAGGATACCCTTTTCCTTTTTCACTGCCTCAGAACGATTCTCCAGTTCCTTCTTCTCCTTAGTCAATCTCCCTCGCTCAGCTTTGATCTTCTCAAGCTCTTTACCAGAAGCTTGAATCATTTTCTCTAGTTCTACAACCTTTTCCTTAAGAGCCAACCGACTCTTCTTCTCCTCAACAAGAGCCTTCCCGGCATTGTCTCTCTCGACCTCAACCAGGGCCAGAGCATCCTTAAGTTGGCTAACTTTGCAGCTAAGCTTCTCACTAGTCTTGATCTGATCATTATAATCATTCCGCAGCTGCACCAAAACATGCTTTTGCTCATCCGCTAGTTTACTCATCTCATCAAACTCAGCTTTCTGCTCACGCGCAAATTGGTCAGCCAGTTTCTCCTTCTCAGAGGACTGCTTCAGAGCCATCTCCATCTGTTTCTTGATTGAAACGTTCTCCGCCAGTAAACCCTCAATCTCAGAAACCTTGATAGATTTCTCTTTCGCCAGTTCAACAATCCTCTCCTCCCTTGCTTTAGCTTTCTCCATAACCTCATCAAGATCCTTCTCCAACCCAATAACCTGATCACGCAAACCCTTCTCTTCCCTAGTCAAACTCTCCACAACCTCACTCAAATTCTCCACCTTCTTCTCTAACTTCACAATCATTTCCTTCTGATCACGATTAACCATCTCCACCTCCATCTTCTCCATCGAAAGCCCTTTCATTTCTCTCTTCACCAAATCTATCTCCCTAACCTTCTCCTCAAGGGTCTTCTCCAAGCTACTCCTCTCCTTATTAACCATCTCAATCAACTCATCCCTCTTCTCCATCTCCTTCACCATCCTACCGTTCTCAGCCTTCAAGTCATCAACTTCCTCTCCCAAAAACCTTTCTTTCATCTCCATCTTAACCACTCTCTCCTTCAACCTATTCACCTCCTCACTCTTCAAATCCCTCTCACCACAAACCCTAACTAACTCCCCTCTCTCTTCCTCTAACTTCCCCATCAGATCTTTAACCTCACACTCCCTCTCACTCCTCTCCCTAACCAACATCTCCCTCAACCGACTCTCCACAATACCAACAAACAAATCCATCTCAAGCCTCAACACCAAACTCTCATCACCGGAGCCACGCAACTCCTCCCTCAACTGAGTCGTCACCGCGCCGGAACGAGTCAACTCGGACTCCAGCGTTTCCTTCTCCTGGAAGAGAGACTCGATCTGCTGCCTCTTCTCAACGGTCTGCTTGAGGAGAATCGCGTTGAGTGACTTCAGGTTCTGGAACTTCTCCTCCGACGAGTCGTGGTCCTCCATCGAGAACTCACGGCTGAGCTCCGCCGGCTTCTTCTGCTGCTGTGTCGTCTGTTGTTGCTGCTCGGTGGAAGCTACGTTGGAGTTACGAGAAGAAGCCTTCTTCTTCGCCATTTTTTCACGGAAAGTGCAAAAGCGGCGGCTAAGAGTTTTTTAGGGTTTATGGTGCAGCTTTTAATGGCGAGAGAGAGAGAGGAAGAGACGGAGTTTGGGGGTAAATATCGCAAAAATTCAAATGTTGGGACCCAATTGAAGTATTTTAAATTGTTTTGATTATGTGATTGGGTTTCTGGTTGCATATCTGTATATATATAGTGGAACTAACATTTGATACGTTTCACTTAGAGACACAACATCATTATAGTGACGTCATTAAAGATGTTTAAATATAGATTATATTCATAAATTAGTTAAATTTTGGTCAAATTAATATATAATAATAAAATTGTTATGATTTAAACAGTTGTTAGCTAAAACTGAATACGCTTTACTAAAAATAAACATTTGAAATAACTACTGCTTTTGTATAAGACATAATTATAATTAATCATATTTGGATACATATCACTAATTCATTAACTTTTTACATATTTAGGTAACAGACTGGTTTTTTGTATAAATTAATATATTATTCTATATACATACATATTCATGAATTAAATATTATTATCTAAACAACTGTTGATTAAAATTGGATACGTTTTCACTAAATATGAACATATGAAATAACTTCTGTTTTGTAAAAGACATAATTGCAATTAGTCAAATTTAGACACATATCACTAATTGATTACACTTTTACATATATAGGTAATAAACTGATTTTTTCTTTGTGTTAATATATTATTCTATTTACATACATATTCATAATAATATATAAATATTATATTACTTGAGACAAAAAATGTTAAAATCATATTTCTGACTAATTTTTGAATGCAGACAATATATACCACAATAATGTTATAACTATTTACACCGTTTTATTTGCTAGCACATGTTTCATTTTTATACGCTTGAATTTCACTTCTTATTCACATAAGTTTTATTTGATATCATAAATTTAAATATATAAACCTTAATATATATAATACTAACACTACAAGAAAACTAAGAAATTACTATGAAACTAGGTGGTTTCCTGCACCGTGTGCAGTAAGAAAAGTTTTAAAAATAAATTTATATTTAAAATAAAATTTAATTAATTTTTAAATTTATTATTTTATTACATTAATTATAAGTAAAAATTAAGAGAAAATAAATAGTTTTATTTAAATATACGACAGTTCTCTCAAATAGAACCTTTTTAGGTTTTTTTTTCACAAAATAGATCTTAAAACTAAAATGACCGAAACAACCATTTTTTTATTTTGAAAATTTCAATTTTTTTTTTAAAAAAATTTATAATCCTATCCCCAAAACTCCACTCCTCAACTTTAAACAAAAAGATTTACGATTAGTTAACCCAAAGGATATAAGTGTATATTTACTTATTTTTGATAAAACATTTAAGTCTATCTTGGTCATTTTTATTTTAAGGTCT